CTGCAAGATTAATTCCTTCTGTGTTTAAAGTAACGTCTTTAAGAATTTCAAAATTTTTTAGGCCCCAAATCATTTCTTCATTTAGAAAGAAAATTAATGCTATAGCTTCTTGTAGAAATTGAAAGAAAGTAATTTTCCTGTTACATGTATTTTTATTCTGTTTGTTACAGTGAACAGTAAATAAATCGGCTTGGTCTCTGAACTGCAAAAGCTGGTAAACACCCAAAGGACAATAGAAAATGACAAAATTCATTTCAGTTTTTGGATGTTGTCGCTCATTCCTATACAGTGAGCAAATAATAAAAAACAATGTGATAACACATTTTCATATTTTCGTCTCTCCTTAAAAAGTAAAAAAATGCTTCAGAAGGATGACAAGAAGCATTCTGTATTTCCAAAATTAACTATGAAAGGCAGATTATCTGGGCATGTCTGAAAGCTATGCATAACCTTTGTGCTACAAATATCTCATTTCAAAAATGTCATGTTCTGCTTATTCAGTAGGGCTTCCGTAAGGCTATTTTAAGCACTGTGCTTCTTGCTTCTAGATGAGAACTGAAGTTATTACAGCCTGCATGTGTTGTTTCACTTGCAATCTATTACAGCTAGATAATTGCTTGGTAGTAGGATGCTATTAAACCTGGAGAGATCCTGCCCAAGTGCTGTAAACTCCGTGGAGTCCAGTCTTGTTTGCAAGATCATCATGCCTCCATGGTAGTTTGGGTAGTTCTGATGCAAAAAAAGGAGCCAGGAGCATAGCACTCCGAGCTTCTGCAGCCGGGGCAGCTCCTGTGAGGGCAGAAGACCCCGTAGCAGTGGCTGAGCTATCTTCCTCTCATCGCCTCTGGTCTGCTTGAACTCCTCACAGACCTGGCAATCTCTTGCATTTGTGTGTCTCTGTAAAAAGAGGACTCACAAGAGCTTTGTGGTGCTATTTGGCATGTGGTTAAGGGAACGTGCACCTGGCAAGGAGAGAAATAGTCCTCACTCATTTCTTCCATTTAGCTTTGGATCAGACCCCATGTGCTCTGAAGCAGGAGTGGTAGAGTTTCAAAGCAAGTTACTGGCAACAGTTGCACCAAGGACATAGTAATTCGTGTTGAAAAGCACTTAATTACTCCACGTTTAGAGCAGACAACACGGCAGTATGTGTATCACCAATATGTCAGCATGGTTTGCTTTTCATAGGAGTTTATGTTCCCAGCAGGCACAGAGTGCTTTTTCTGCCTGATAAATGTCAAGTACTTAAAGCAATCTTGCCTTTTCCTCTCTAGAGGTTGCCAAATAATCTCCTTTCATTGGCTGTGGGATCTTGCCAGGGCTTCTGCGTTCATGCACTTTTATCCCTGCCAAATGTTGGTAACACAGGAACTGTACAAATATTCCCTGCTCCTTTCATTTGCTTTGCACAGCTCTGTTCGGTTGCAGGTTTCCTGTTTTTTTCCCTCTGTTATTCTAGGCTGGTTCTGGCAGTAGTTCATGATCCGTATTCCATTATTGGGTGTGCTACGGAGCTGAGTTTGGGTAGAAACCTTTGTTAAATAAACATGATAAGCGTCTTGCATCATAGCCACCTTTAAAGCTAATTTGGTTTGCCTCCTGAATGCCCCATTGCAGCTGAGGGGAGTTCCCAGTGGGTGTTAAGCAGTTCCTCTGCTCCCAGTCACAATAAAAAGATTCCTTTGCTGTTTATCCATTTACCTGTGTATTTTCTCTAGGAAGTCTTACAGCACCAAATGTTCCTGCTCCATGTAGCATATAGGAGGTACCCCTATACCTTGATAAGGTTTATGAAATATTTTACAAGGCTTTGAGTAACCTGATCTAGTGGAAGGTGTCCCTGCTCATGGCAGAGGGTTTGGTACTAGATGATCTTTAAGGTCTCTTCCAACCCAAACCATTCTATGATTTAAAACATTTAGTTTTAAATTTTAGTTTGAAAAGTCCAGTTTGTTAAGGAGGAAAAAAGATGTCAGTATTAGAGCACCTCCTGGAAGTAGATGCTTTAATAAAATAAACTGTGGCAGAGGAAAAAAATACTTTTAATAGAAAAAGGAAAGTAAATCTTTCACCTTATCGTGTTTTACCCTGTGTATCATACAGCAGGGCTGGGTCATTTGACCTTTTTGTTGATAATGTCACCAAGATATTTTAGGCTAATGCTACATATCATACGATGGCAGATGATAGTGCTTTGTGTGTCACTGCGGTACTTAATTTCAATCCATGCAAAAATATTTTACAAGACTAGATGGCAGAATGTCAATCATTTTTCCATGACATTTCTTCTTTCCTTGTCTGTAATGTAATAACTTGTGAATGTTGTATATGCAAACCCCAACACCTAAGGACAGGTCTAGATCCTGTGGCAGAACCTCATCAGTTGGATAAAAACTGTGAAAATGGAAGGAAGGAAGAGGCAAAATATGCTATTTCTAGCCGTTTGTTTGAAAATTCAGTACTCTTAACTGCTTTTCAGTTAACACTAGCCTTGAACCTCCGCACAAGAGCATCTTTTGATTATTTTATCCATCATTAACGTCTCTCCAGATAGAGGTGGAAGAGTGGGAGTATGGCTGAGACAGAACATGTTCTCAGTGTGAGACATGTGGCACAGGAGATTTAGAGGACAGTATAGGGAACAGGGGTCTGAGGAAGGCAGAGGAGCGGGAAACATTTGTATCTCAGCAATCCTTTAAGAGTGGTAGTGTGATGCACAGGGAACTGAAGACTGCGAGAAGCCTCTGTGTACAAAATGCACAATTTTCAAAAGCAGCAAAATGTGTAATGCTTCAGCTGATCTAAAGTAGAGTTCAGGTCCTGAGCAAAATGTACAGAAATGTTCAGGCAGTTTGTGCCAGTCTCATTGACTGTCTCTTCATTTTAATGGCACCAATCTGAAGAAGATTACTTTTGCCAGGGTTGTAAATCAGATTAACAGAGGTGTGGAGAGAGGATTGAGATGAAGTTTATGTCAGTAGAATGTATGTGAAGGTAGTGATACAAATAACAGACTAAACAGAAAGGAAATAGTGATTTAGCTGGAAGCATGGCAAGAAAAAACTGCTAGTATTGTCAAATACATCAGGAGTAGTATTTTCTGCAAAGCCCAAATGATTCTGGTAGCCTACATCTCATTCCCAAAAGTCTATCCTAATACATTCAAGAAAATTAATTTGGTTTAATTAAAAAGACAAATTTAAAGTGCATCAGGATATATCCACATAGGGAAAAACTATCAAGCTACCAAATACTCTTATCTGTGGTAGTTTTTGCATGTCCCTAGCCTGCTGCAAAGTGGGACACATTAATTGGAACCATCATGAAAGCATAATATAATTTTTTGAGGTTGTTTTTTTAATTCTGGCAAGATTTCATTTTCTTGTTGCTTTGTTGTACCTTACATGTTAAGCTTAAACAGATGCTGTCAACAAGGAGTGGTCTCTTTGCTTCATATATGTGCACACGCATACGTTCACAGCTGCTTCTTCCTAAACAAAACTGGAATCTTGTTTAACATCTGCCTTTATCCCTACGCCTTGTAAGAAGTGAAGAGAGGTTGTTTAGCAGATCAAAGGAGAAGTGTGACAAAGTGATAACACTATGTTTGAATCCTCCTCTGATACTGACCAAATCCCGTTAGATGCTGTAACGCAGGCGTCTTCCAGCCTGGAGCCGGCGTTCTCGCAGACTGTCAAAATACTGTCTTTCAGCTGGCAGAGCAGTGCCTTGCTGCTGGCTTTAGTAATATGTTTGAGGCTATTTCTAAAAGAGGGTTTTTAACTCCATGAGCACTGCCTGCTTGGTTTAACGTTAGAAATTTGCTGGCTGTTTTCTGATGGGTCAGCAGAAGGTGTCTGGAAATTTCTCTGAGCGCTGTGTTTGCAGTGGCAGTTCTAGCAGTGAATTGCAAGGAGCAGCAGACTTTAGTAAGACAGGAAAGCTGCTATTCTAAACTGGCCTGTAGTTTAGGATTTTTTTTAAACTGAGAAGCTTACCAATGAGGTATCAAGGCATCAACTATTTACCCTATAGGAATATAAATTAGGTTTAGTGTATGTGGTAAATTTTGTTTCTTCATAAGTTTTTCAAGTCCACCTAGGATAAAAACTGACTTCACCCAAATGTTTAATGAGGCATTTTATTAACCCCAACATTTAATGAGATGTTTTGCTAACTATTTATGCAAGGTGATCAAAATGTCATTTCCATGAGTTTCTTTATTGTTTAATTCATAAAGGATAATTTCTAAGAAACCCTTGAACTGTTATTCAAACTAATTTCATCACAATGTTTTGATTTATAATTTCAAAGAGAAAATGCTCTATTGTTTCTAGAAGTAACCTGTTTGGGGAGGATCTGAATCTGTCAGGTACTTTGTTCCCCCTTGACTTCACTGAAATCTCATTAATTCATAGGATAGAGTCCACATGAATGATTATCCCAACAGCAAACTTTACAGTATTTGCATGTGAATGTTTTGTTTCTCAGTCAGTGCTGAGAGAATTGTTGTGCTTTATGCAAGAAGTTACTATAAATAAAAAGGTCTTGATTCATCACTATGTCACTGCAGAGTTACATCACTGTCACTCCAGTATGAATGTCCAAGATCTTAGCTGTTCCCTTGCAGCCATAAGGAGTTTATTTGGATACTTAGTTTTAGATCTTTGGCAACTCTTTGGGTTTTTAAAATCCCACAGCGATATTTGAAAAGTGTAGTATTTAAAAACAAAGTCCCCTGTCCATAGAGTTTGAGAGAGAACAGATGTCTTGAAGGAAGGGAAGTGCTCACTAGCTACTTAATACTGGATTGTCAGAGCATTCTAGGTTAAGATAGGAGTGTTTTGAATAGGGTGTTATTTTTACACTGTTCCACTGATGTGATACCAGAGAAAACCAGCAACGGGCTGATCCTAGGAAATCTATCCAGAATTATGAAACTGTAACAGAGATCCTGTGGTTGACAAAAGTGATGAATTTATATTTTGTTCTATTTTCAGTGTCAGCCAAACCAAGACCTCACAGTGATGAATACACAAAGAAGATTCCACCTCCTAAGCCGAAACGAAATCCAAACACTCAGCTAAGCACATCTTTTGATGAAACATATATCAAAAAGCATGGCCCTATGAAGACAACACTCACTAGGGATGCCTCTTTATCACAGGTCAGCAGTCCTGCCCCAGACACAGAGGAGGAAGAGCCTGTTTATATTGAAATGGTTGGGAATATTCTCAGAGACTTCAAAAAAGACGAGGATGACCAAAGCGAAGCAGTCTATGAGGAGATGAAATACCCTATATTTGATGATGTAGGCCAAGATTCAAAATGTCAATGTGAATATGACCATCACACTTGTTCTTCTCAGTGTGCTACTCCCACAGTGCCTGACCTAGATTTCACCAAGTCTTCAGTGCCATCTACTCCCAAGGGCTTGCTTTGTGATATACCCCCACCATTTCCAAATCTGCTTTCTCACAGACCTCCACTGCTGGTGTTCCCACCAGCACCAGTGCAGTGTTCCCCAAATTCTGACGAATCTCCTCTAACTCCACTAGAGGTCACAAAGCTTCCTGTTTTAGAAAACGTGTCTTACATCAAACAACAAGCTGGAGCTTCTCCATCTTCACTGCCACTTCATACACCAGGCCATCAAAAACTGGAGAAAGACCAGACAGTAACTCATGGGACTAGCACCCCTGGGCACACCTCCTCACCTCCTCATCCTTCTACCTTATACAGAACACAATCTCCACATGGTTACCCTAAAAGTCATTCTGCCTCACCTTCTCCTGTGAGTATGGGTAGGTCTCTTACCCCCTTAAGCCTCAAAAGACCTCCACCTTATGACTCTGTGCATTCAGGAAGTCTCTCAAGAAGCTCTCCATCAGTGCCTCATTCTACAGCCAGAAACACGTTGCAAGAAGGAGGAAAGATGGTAAATGCCTCGGTCAGTACCTACGGGTCATCATCTCAGAGTGGTTCCCGTTCTCGGACACCCACCAGTCCTCTGGAGGAACTAACCAGCCTCTTTACCTCAGGACGAAGTCTCCTGAGAAAGTCCTCCAGTGGTAGAAGATCCAAGGAGCCTGCAGAAAGTAAGTTCTTGATGTAATTTTTCCTTGTCCTTCCTTGTATAATAATATCTTTCACTGTATTTTACTACATCAAATGCTTGCAAAAATGAAATACCTCAGAAGTCGGAATTCCTTATATAAACATCTTGTAATGGGAAGAAAAGGGATTATTGTTAAAATTACTTTAGTCTTCATGTTGTATTTTTAAGATTTTTCACTGTGCATACTGCGCTGCAGAAGTACGATTCATGTCTTGGTCTTGCAAAAGCTATCAGTTTTCATTAACTTTTCCACAGCTGTGAGAGTCCTATGTGAGTTGTGATCTTGCCACCATGTCACATCCTTCCTTTCTTCACGGATGCTATGACACAGCAATTGTCCAAGCAGCTTGTAGCAAAATAACCAGATGGTAGTTGGTTTTTGGCAAAGATCCATTAGTTGCCCTTAACTTGGCCGATGAGCACAGTGCGTATGATTGCAACCAGAGGCGCCACCTTAAACCATTCCTCTCCTTCACACTACCTCCTTCTGTACAGTGCTGTGCTGGTGTGGCTGGTTGGGAGGCTGTGCTGTGAATCGATCTGGAAACCAACATGACCTATGATGCGTTACCCACACACAGAGAAAAGCACAGGAGGAAGTTGTGCAGGAAAACCTTAAGCCAATATTGACTTTTCTTATGCTGTATCGTAAAATCATTGTCCCATATACATTCAGATTTATACAATGTACACCTATTTCTGAGCTAGTGAAACATGGAAACTCCTAATGAAATCAGCAGGAGTCACAGATGTGAGTGAAAGCAGAACCTGACACCAGTATTTCTGTTGAAAATATGTTCCCGTTCAGTGGTGCCAGAGAGAGCGTCTTGCAGCAGAAGACAGCCATAACACCTTTTGTCAGAGAGCAAGGTGGGCTCCTCCAACCTCACTAAAATCAGTGTATGACTGAATTCTTGACACCTGCCTGACAGAAAAGCTGACTTTGGAGAACAGCTGATCTCATGTTTGTTTAAGTGCTATATTATACCTATTTGACAACTGTAACATATTAAATACCATGTGATAAACTATACTGGTTGATACTTGATAAAGGAAGGCGTTCTGGTTTCCAGGCTACCATATTGCTACAGAAGAGAAGTGATTTCTGCACTGCCTTTCTGCTTGTGTTTGTGCCACTCTGTTACATTACTCATTGCAGTGTGGTCATACCGCTTTGGGGCATGCTCCAGGGCTCACAAGAACACCTCATCTGGGTTTTCATGGGTGGAGGTTCCCTGCCTCACACCTCTGCAGCTGAGTGAGTACCTGCAAACGTGTAAGTATGGTGAAGCTTGATGGCAATGGTTTCAGTTGGCGTACAAAGTGTTCCTTCTGGTACATGGGCTCCACTGCCTCAACAGTTTTATTCTTTTTTATTCTTTTTATTCTCTGTGAAAATCAGGAATAGCGACTCTGAAATCAGGTGGAGGCAAGAACGGAGTTTGCAGGATACTGAGAGTACGAGTTGGTGCTGCAGTTCGCTTAATTTGTCTTTAATATATTTGTGGCCTGCTATCATAGATACTGTTTTATGAAGGTCTTAGCTCCATGATTCAGTAGGGTTTTACGAAGAGATTACAATAATAAAAATACAATAACACTGGATTTGTGTGCTGGATGGAAGCAAGTTTGTACCTAAAAGGCAAGATGACTTGTAATTGGGAACAATTATGAGAGATTCAATGTGACATTTATAAATAATTGCAGTGAAGTGGTAAGGAGGTTTTGGCAAAGTGCAGACAATATTGAACATTATTAAACATGCTGCTTATTCGTAAGTGAGCAGAAATCCCCTGTAAACCCCATGCTGCACCAGATCTACCTGATGACCTTCATAAAATGGACAGTTTTATGCTCATCAATGTAGGCATAAGTGTGAGGTTTGGAACCTATGAAATTTCTGGAGCAAACATGGCAAGTCCTGGGAAATTTCAGCAAATCTCTGCTGCTGTCTTACACTTACCTCCAGAAAGATATTCTGTATATCCACTTGACTGAAATTGAATGCAGACCTTTCAAGGGACTTTTCACTGATAAATTTAACATAAATCTTGCCCTGCAGATCTGTACCAAGAGCAGCTTTCTTCTTGGCCTCTCAAGGAGCATTCTGCTTGCTGCTTTGGAGGTAGAAATGTGCTCCTTATTAGTCACAAATGGTAAGACGAGAGATGAAATAGAAACTGTGTTCATTTACTTTAAGGACAAAACATTCATGTTATAAATAGACACCAGTGGTGAAAAGACTCTGGAGTGCAGCTGTGTTGAGTAAATGAACAGACTGCCCATCTAATCCAATTGTAATTTGTCTGGTATTTACAGTATGACTTAATCCTATGGGATTACTGCACTGAGCAAGAACCGGGTTTGTGCTCAGATATTACAGAGGTAGAAGACACTCTTAAGATCTATGGAAAACACATACACGTCTAGCATTTTGTGTCTTGCAATTCTACATTAAAATGATCCACCATAAAGAATCTAAATTGTGGGATTTGAACATGAAACGTGACCAGACTGTCACATTTACATGCTGTGATTATACATAGTGATAGATAGTGTAGACTGGACTAATCATATGATCTGTTAAAGAGATCTTGCTCCTACAAATCACACTGGAAACCTAAGGCATTCATACAGTTCTGGATTATTTTTTTTTTAAGCTACGGGACAACAAATGCATAGCATAGGACTAACTGGGACTGCCATGGTTTTATAGTTGTCACTTCAGTGTAATTTTCTCTCAGCATACAGAAAAATTTCCAGAATCTTGAGGATAATAAACACACACACAAAAAAGAAGTTATATGGCTCTCTCGAAATCATGCTAGGAAACTAAGAATATTTGCTTCTAATGTAAAATTATTCTGAGCATGTCTTAAGTAACTTTCTCATTGAATCCTCCAAAACTCAGCCCTCTGTGACTTGTCTGAAGCTCTCGCTGCCACATATGCTAGTCAAAAAAAAAAAAGCACAATACTAAATTTTGTATTCAGCTGAGTATATTTGGAAAATATTGCAGCAATTACAGAGAAAATTCTCTCTCATCTTTATTGTTATTGCTGCAACTGGCTTTGTGAAAATTTGGCATCTGAGTCTGAACTCAATGTATTTGCTGGCTTTTAATTTGTGATGTTTTTGAGTGAGTTTCTTTTTGAGGGGAGGACTGCACAAACCTTATGTCCAGTCAACAGCTTTAATATACAAGCAAAACTGCTTTGTAGCCTTTCTGTATTATTTTCTTTGCTCTTCTGCCATTTTTCCTTTTTGATTCCGCTCCATTTTATTCCTGTAGAGTTCACTGGAATTGCATTAGTGGGAAATTGGGATAAATCAGTGTGTATTAAGAAGATTGTCACCTCAGGGCCACGTTTTCTGAGGATATGAGCTTCTGTTGAAGCCCCAGACATGTTGCTGAATGCAGTCAGCATCCACCAGCTGCAGTTGTGATGTGTGTATCTGGATTTTATAAGCAGTTCAGTTATTGTGCTGTATTCTCCTAAAAATCCTCTTGTGTGCTGTTAGCATCTTAAATATGCTTTGTGGCACAATTATGAAAGCGAGGAGAAAAGAACAAAGAAAATTAAATTGTAAGGCCAAATCAGAAATGAAAAAAATGGTGGAAGATGATCATAAAGAAAGGCAGAAAAATGGAGAGAACCCCTATGGAAATCTGAAGAAAGATATAGAGCACGAAAAATGTGAAAGAGTGGGAAAGATAGACATTATTAATTGCCAGAGACTGTTCTTTAACCCTTCCTGCTTTCGTGTGGGGTAACATGGTAGCATGTCCTAACAGTTGGCAGCCCCCTGTGAAATATATTGTCAGTCTCGGAGGTCAGAGGGAAACTAACATTTAAAGGTACTAATGCTGCCTGGTGTCCTTGGGCTGCTTCAGTGTGTCCTTTTCTAATGCAGCTGGAATGTGTTTAAGTATGACTGCTCAATCCAGCTCCGTTGAATGGCACATTCCCTTTGCTTTTTGAATATGCACTGAGTGTCTGTGTTACCCATGTCCTTCAGTAAAGCGGGAATTACAGCAGGAGAGAGGGAGGGAATGGTCTTCAGATTTTCTAGAGCTGTGTTTGTTGCCTCTGTCTTTTCTGCACTATGGAAACATGCTGTACTCTGCAAAAATATAGAACTGAATTGTGTGCCTATAGGCATACCCACATCCTAAAAAGCAAAACAGAGAAGCTGCTGGTGCGCGTCTGAGCTGCTTTCCATTTTTCTCTGGGTGAAATGGTCCTGTAAACCCTTACCAGGACCAGCCCCTTTCTGGTTTTGTACTGGTTTGTTCCATTTGTTAAGGCTTCAGTTTCCTCGTAACATCCTGGGAACTTGGTGCCTGTTTTGAGCAAGTGTTGCAAATGTTCATCCTAATGCACTGCACAACATGGTGGTGGTTACCTCTGCCATGTGCCCTGACTGTGCTCGAGGTGTGAGATCAGCACACCCAATGCACAGCACCTCATTGCCCTTTTCCTTGCGGCTACGCAGGGCTACGCAGCTGCTTTGGCTTTTGCGTAGGGAGAGTTTCACTCTTCAGCTTCTTGCCATATATAGGGAGGAAATTTGTGAACGTGCTACTTTGGAAATTCAGTTAAAGTGATTGAAAATTGAGATAATTATTAACATTTCCTGTTCCTGACTGGTACTGCATTAGGAATCTAAAATATTTTATTATAAGCTGTCAAATAGCGTGTGGAGGGGAGGGATGCAGAAGTGGCTCAACTTGTTAAAAAGGAGCTCATGCTGATTTCAGGCAGCTGAGAGCCTCCCATGGAGAAATTGTGGAGTCAGAGTGGAAATTTTTACCTTTTTTTTTTTTAATTTAATTTTTTTAATTTAAAAAAACCTTTTTTTTTAAAAAAAAAAAAAAAAGAAATGCTCATGCATTTCAAGGCCAGGTTGGACGAGGCCCTGAGCAACCTGATCTAGTTGGAGATATCCCTGTTCCTTGCAGGGGGGTTGGACTAGATA